CCTGTGTGTCGGTGCATGGGGGTGGTGGTGGTGGTGGTGGTGAAATTCTGGCGCGTTTCGCTTTGCGTGCACCGGCTGTGAAACTGTCGTCCTCTGCGCCTTCCTACCCGCTCGAACCCTGGCAGGTGGATCATCCTGCTTAACGCGCAACCCGGTCACCGGAGACGGAGTTGACGTGACGCCTGTGAGGCGCAGCGCACGAAGGTGTCGAGGTAACGTTTACCCACTCTTCTTTTGTTTTTTTTTTTCAAGGATTTTATATTCTTACCCTCTGCCCCCCCCCTTTTTTTTTGGTTGTTATTGTTGTTCAAGACAACCATGTCAACCGTGTATTTCACCCTCTTTTTTCATGCTTCACGTATAAATATCACATATATTTTGTTACTGCTTTCATTCGCCCCTAGATCGGTTCGTTTCAGCCTCATGTCCTCAAGAAACATCGAGGCATGAGTATGAGAGAAGTATCGTTTGATTAGCTTCTCGTCGAGCAGGTAACGACGAAAGAGAGAGATGTTGCAGTACTGTACAAAAACTGTCGAGGGATCACCGATCTTTCGGCAGACTTTCTCGGGAGTCGAGTGCTAACTGTTAATAAATGAATTTTTTTTTTTTTTTTTTCAATTTTTAAGAATTTTGGAAATTTGGAAATTTCGGGATTTAGGAGTTTGAGAGTTTGGGAGAAGTGTGGGAATCCCGAAATGCAGGAGCCTGGGAATTTAGCAATTTGAACATCTTAAGCATCTAATTTTTAGGGAATCTAGAAATCCAGGAATTCGGGAATCTAAGATTTTAGAAATCCAGGGTTTTGAGAATCTACGACTTTAAAAATCCCAGGTGTGTTTGGTATTCTAGGGAATTTAGAAATCTAGAAATTTAAGAATCCAGGAATTTGGAGATCGAGAGAACCTTTGGAGATCGGGAACCCACGACTTTAGAAATCCAAGAATTTGAGAATCTAAGACTTTAGAAATCTAGGGATTTGGGAATCTAGGATTTTAGAAATCTAATAGTTTGGCAATCCAGGAATTTAGAAATCTAGAAATTTGGAAATCCAGGGATTTGAGAATCTAGAGCTTTAGAAATCTAAAAATTTGGGAATCTAAGACTTTAGAAATCTAGGGATTTGGGAATCTAGGATTTTAGAAATCTAATAGTTTGGCAATCCAGGAATTTAGAAATCCAGGGATTTGAGAATCTAGAGTTTTAGAAATCTAAAAATTTAGAAATCTAGGAATTTGGAAATCCAGGGAGTTGAGAACCTATGACTTTAGAAATCCAGGGAATTTAGAAATCTAGGACATTAGAAATCTAAGGATTTGGGAATCTAGAATTTTAGAAATCTAGGAATTTGGGATTCTAGGAATCTAGGAATCTAGGACTTTAGAAATCAAGGATTTTAGAAGCCCAGGCATTTAGATATTTGAAAATTAAAAAATTCGAAACTTCAGCAACGTTAATGGCGTTAGTTCAACGTTTACCCTCAATAGTATTTATCCCCAGGCGATGAATACAAAGTGCAGGACAATGGCTTTTAGTATTGTTTAGGGTTGAATGGACCAACCCTCCAATCGACCAAATAAAATACAGCGTATGTGTATTCGCAAGCAACTGGAGTCGACTTTATTTAGATTAGAATTACACCAGGCTTTTCTATGAATATTTGATTAATCCC